TGCATTAAAACTTTCTTACTTAGCCTAAGTGCTACCATTACCTTGTTCCTATCTGATTAACCTGTGACGCTCTACTGCTCATTAAAATATATTGATATTGATACCCTCTTTTTTTCTGCCAAACGTCAAATGCCTGCTCTAATTAGCCTACTTTAATCTGTACAGAAGTTGATAGAGGTCGGCAGCTTCGTTTTTCATTGTGCGAATGCATTAACGCATTATAAAGTCACCTTGGCCGTTAAATTCTAAAGAGTTCTAGGATTTCTGTGGAAAGGTCCAATCCTCTTTTGCAGGATTGGAGGGTGAATGTTATTGAAATTATTTCTATCCTTATCTATTGAATTTCCGCTTCTATGTTGATGTATATTATTGAAGTACTTTGATATCTTTTCATCTTCCCAGACTTTTTCCTCACTTTTAGAACTCTTTTTCTGTTCTTCAAATGAAATTTCTAGAAGATGAAGTGAGCACTGATCACTGTTTGTACCATGATTTATCGACAGTTTCGTAAAATTAGAGCTTTCTACTTTTTGACTAAATTATTGCACTCACTGTGCGCATGCCTCACATTCAAGCTTAATTGTAACTTCCATCCGGTTACATTTATCTTTCGCTGCTTTTCTGTCATTCTCTTGCACACTTATTTACACTCACGAACAAAAAATCTTAACGATTCAGCATGGGTTCTAAGCAAGTTTATTGCTTCCAGATGCTGTTACTTCATTATTTTTTAGAATTTTTGAGTAATGAGTTATGAGGGGCTCCAGTAATAATATAATCTCGCTGATGACCCCTGAAAAAATCTAAAGGTTTATTTTGTCCTTTCCACTTCTCAAAATTTTTATGTAACGTTTAAAAAGAATAAACAATAGAAATAAACAAAGGACAACTCCTTATAGTTTTAACTTCGAAATTTGTGTAACTTCTCTGGGAAAATCTCATTTTTCAATGTGACATCCTTCTAATCTCTTTAGCCCACTGTTCAATGTTTACCCAAAGATATTATCGTAGCCCAGATACTCTTGGGATTTCTTCTGTTCATAAGGACGTGCCATGTAATGAATCGACCATCTGGATGCGCACCATCCGCCTTCTACATCTGCTTCGTCTCCACAGTAAAACAGCATGATCAACCTCCATTCTGCGAGCCTACAATTCATTCTTCTTTGCGGATTTTCTTTTATTCTATGCACCTGTTTATCCTAAAACTGGTTACTGGTCGAATTCTGGTCGAATAGTAGCGTAGTATACGCAACCTAGACAGGTTTTTGTATATCTAAGCGTTTGTTTCAGGGATGTTGTTCCTCCTTCTGGGGTTACTAACCTCGGAGGTGATTGCATGTCCTTCAGAATGTAATTGTACCGAAGTGACGATCGACTGCTCTTCTAGAGGTAGATGAAGCTGACTTT